GGGGGGGGGGGGTGAAACATATGCAAAAGATAGAATGGCTGTTTCCATGAATATAAGATATTTGCAGGCAAATATAAGATTTCTATGTTAATTACCTGTTGGCAAATCTGCATCCTCTTGCTTTGAAGAAATGGCAAGATTGTTACTCCGTCCTTCAGACAGTTGTTCCCTTGCTTCACTTGTTTCATGAGTTCCTTCCACGCTACCCGTAGCTGAATCTTGGTTTGAAGAGGAGGCACCATTGTTATTATGTCCTTCAAAGAGTTGCCAGCTATCATTGTTCTGCCCTTCAAAGAGTTGCTGGCAAGCTTCACTCACTTGAAGAGTTTCTTCATTTGTATTCTGATTATTCAAAAATATYATCAAATTAGATCAGGGTCTGAGTAAAAGCTAGAAAAAGAAGGAAATTGCTTGCAGTGAAGTTGTTGTGTTACCTCCAGAGTGGGAGAGTCAAAAGTGTATTCCAAGTTATCCATCGTTGAATTAAAGATGGAAAACTCATYAAACATATCAAGGCCAGGCTCTGTCTTGACGTCATTTTTAAGGTCATCTGCTTCGAAGAATGAAGTTCCATCAAATTGAAAGTCACCAGTAGAAGCATCAAAAAATGGTTCATCAAGCAAGTAATCCACATCAWAATCCATGGTATTGCTTGTTTCACCAATGTATTCATGCTTGACAGACTTGGGATCCATCCCATTCTGCACAGGCAAATCAAACAACTTAGGTCCATCTTCTTTGTCATCCTGAGGTTGATCCTCGCCACCATCCACCAAGAAATTTTCAGTCTCATCAATCATTTCTGAGGATACATCAGCACAGCTGACGTCGTTACCCTGATGGTAGTCCAATGGAAGGGGACCATCTTCCTCTGGCATGTCTGAGCCAAGAATCTGAGGTAAAAGAGAAATAAAGTACGTTCATCAAAATTATGAATTAATAATAAAATCCACATAATAAGAGGGGATTCTTGAAGCATAACATCTTGCAATAGCCAAAATGGACTAATTATGCACAAGGCATCAGCAGCCAATGTTCCAGCTAGATTTGTGTAAATGTTGACGTTTGAAGTCTCAAATATTAGTCATCTTCTCTGTGATGTCTTGAACGTTTATCTTTTTCGGAACACAAGTAGCATACCACTGCATATGTTTTATGAAGCATGCCAGCAGAACTAAGTGGAATTTGCCAAGTGGTAGGATACCCATCGAGTCACCCATCAAGCCCAAAAGCAAATCATTTTACAAGGCAATATTGAATTAGATGAGCCTTTTACTGGATAGGATGACCAGGTTGATGGTTATGGGCTGATTGGCCAAACATACTATTCAACATTACGAAGGTGAAAAAAAGTTGAGCAGACACTCGAAACTCCCAAGGATAGCTCTATTAGAGAGATGTCCTTTCAATTTATGTTTTCTTTAGAGCATCTCCAAGGGGTAACACCAAATCCATAAACTTGGTGTAAAATTTGGTACAAACAATAAATCTTCAACCAACGGGTAACACCATAATTTACACCAAAATGTAAGATTTTAGGTATAATCTTTTGTATCTTCTCCAATTGTTGTAAAATTGGGTGTAAATGAATAGCGTTACACCAAATTTGGTGTGTTACTATTCATTTACACCCAATTTTACAACAATTGGAGAAGATACAAAAGATTATATCTAAAATTGTTACACCAAATTTGGTGTGTTACTATTCATTACACCGAATTTGGTGTCTCCATTGGAGTGATTTGACGTCAAATTTGGTATTTGGTGTCAACATTGGAGATGGTCTTAGGCTACAAATAATCAAATCTCCTATAGGGATTAGTCCTAAAACAAGCAGAAGAATGTGCTTAAAAGCAGATACATATAATTTATCTTTTAAATGCTGACCTTTAAAATTCTTCTATTCCAACATAAGTTATTTTGCACATAATATGAAATACTAAATTAATAATTATAAGTGTCAGATAAATAACCTGGACATTAACTTTTATTATAAATAAACAGAAGAAAAAGTCAATTGATTAGTCAAACTCGTTCGTAAAGTGAAACTAATTAATTATAGGTTGAATTTAAGGTGGAGGATATATAACATTACGAAACATTAATGAGGACAGAAAAGTAAACTTATTGGTTTAATGTCTTTCTTGATATGTGAATTTGAGCTGATGCATCACTATCAAACAATCCCAAACAGACTCCCATATGTAAAAGAGTGTTCAGCTCCTCTTTCTTTTCCCCCTTTTTTATAGATGCTAAATGGGATATTGAGCCAAGGTTATCAACCGCTGTTAACTAGCACCCAGACTCAACATACTTTTTACTGGTCTATAATTCTGTTCAGTTACAATGACACGGTTCCATCATTACTTTAACATGAAGCCTAAAGTAGAAATTTCATAATTTTAATGAGGCGTCTAAACTAGAAATGATGTGCACTAGTAGAAAATAAGAAATGTAAAGCTAGATAGAAGCATGTTAAGAAGATCACAAATTCACAATTACATAAAATCACAAACCTGCTCAAGGTCACTTGCATCTAGATAGGCATCATCATCATCATCAACACGCAATTCCTCAGCAGACTCCTGCTTGGGGACCATTACCAATTCATCATCCTCCCATTCCTCCTCAACAAATGGTGCCCCATACTGTTCACCATTCTTCGGTCCAGAACCACTCTTACGGAAGATCCTACAAAGAACAAATGCATCCTGCCAACACAAAATCCAAGTAGATAAGAGACAGCAAGATCATCATAATACAAGAAAACAAACATATACACAACCATGACCAGTTAGACTACATCGAACATGTCAGAATGAAGACCTATAAACTGACAACTACAGAACACAGCATCATGCCTGCCTCAGTAAAAATCATTCCCTGAGTCTATTTTCTTCAAATATTTGATTACATGATTTATGTCGATTCTAAAGGCAATATAATTTTCTCATTTCTACAGATATTACATGATTTATGCATATAGGTTATACACGGTACATCATCCTCACCTGGACAACTCCAGCTTTTTCCAACTCCTGATCAATGAGTCTGTATTCATGCATAACCCAATTTGTCCTCTCGCCCTTTGGTGCCCGTCCACTATGATACACCAGAGTTTTTTTCATACCAACCAGTTGAGACCTGTGGTAAACGGACCGGTCTTTCCCTGTGGTCTTCCAGTACCCTCTATCAGTTGCTCGGTTTGTACGGGATCCATTCCCATACTTCTTATCCAAGACGCTAAAAAAGTACCATTCCAGGTCTCTCGACTTGAGTCTGGACAAACCTGCACCCCAAAATGGACCAAATAACATATGAATTAAGTCATAATCTTCAAATTTTCAAGACCCATGATTTGCAAGATATTGAAACACATGTTCAAATGATTGAAACACAAAATCATTTTGGGAAATGAATTTTCAGGAAAATATCATAGTAAAAACAATTCAAAGCATCTTTTTAAAATCGTTGACCACACAGATAAGGGAACATATTAGGTCTAAACTTTCAAGAATATTACAGGTAATTGGCAGTATTAGCACTTGGATCCACATGAATCCCACCCATATCATCCAGATCATTCCCAGAACATCAAAAGTTTGGTTGTAAAAACATATGGTTGATCCGAAAGGGAATAATTAAGCAAGGACACATCGAATCAAGAATTTAAAAGCAAAAAAAAACCGCATATACTTGGTTTACAGAAAATTCCAACAAAAATAAGTGAATTGACCTGGAAGATCCCAAGGCTCGACTTTGTAGACATCAACATCTGAAATAGCGTCAAATCGGAAGGGTTTACCGCAAATCTTACGCCTTAAGTAATAGCGTACAAGTTCTTCATCGGTGGGATGAAACCTAAAACCAGGAGCAAGTGAAGAAGGCGCTGGTGGTAGCGAATCAAGGACTACTGCCATATAGGAATAATATTGAATGTTGAAAGAGAGAAATGGAAGAAGTTTAATTTAGGGTTTCATGGTGGCATTTGATTCAGAGAAGAGAAGAAAGTAAAAAAGAGGGGTTTATGAGCTGGTCCATTTTGACGACTTTAATTACTTAACATACACCCCTCAACACGCATACGCAGATGCTTCCTTCTTGGAACCGAACACCTCCGTGGCACCAAACAAACCGCTTTTTGTTTTCTAATAACATTTTCTTTTGCTTTTGCTTTTGCTTTTTGGGTTTGGGTTCGGATTTGGGTCGGCCCATCTCTCTCTTTGGGCTGGCCCATTCGTTTTTTCATGGTTTTTTAATAGGGTTAAATGCATGAAATAACAGCCTATTTTCATAAATTTTCTTATTATAGCACTCTACTTTTGTTTTTTATTATTACAGCAATGTACTTTCAAATTATTTTTATTAAGGCATCATACTTTAAAAAATCTACCCATAATAGTAATGAGTAACATGTTACCTTTTAAACCGGTTAACCCCTTGACTTTTTTTGTTTGTGTGACTTTAATGAGGTGATGTGAATGATACATTATTTTGATGACTTAACTAAAATAAAAATAAAAACCTATTTTAAATTATTATTAGTGATTTTCATTTTTCATTGCTATGATCTAAAAAAATATTTAATGTTTTTTTGACTTTTTCTTATTATATTGCATGCAAATTAAATATTCTAGAGTAAAATATTTTTTAAATAAATATGAAACATTATTTTCGAGATATATTTTGTTTATAAAAAAGATGTATGTATTTAAAGTTCTCTTTAAAATATTAACGAAGTAAATTGTGATCTACAATTTTTTAATATTGTTATATTAATAAATAATTCAAAAAAATATAATTAATTTAATATATTTATACGTCAAGTAAAAGTTTTTGAACAAATATAATATATTCTATAAAAGATAATATTTTTTGGTAAAAAATGAACAATTCTTATTTTCTTTTTTCAAAAAACACATATTTTTTTAAAAATATTAGCATAATAAGTTGTGTTCTACTAGTTTTATTCATATTGATATATTAATGAATAATTTATTTTTTAATTCATTTAATATATTTATTAAATAACATGTAAAATATCTAAATATTAAAATAAAAAATATAGTGTTTAATAAGAACTAATAGGTGTTATAATAAAATAATTTTGAAAGGTTACCCAGTGGACAATGAGGTGACATGCAAACCTGGTATAATGAGTAAATTTAAATCAAAAGGTTACTCAATGTTATAATGAGTAAATTTTTTAAAGTACAATGTCCTAATAAAAAATAGTTTGAAAGTACATTGTTGTAATAAGAAAAACTGGAAGTACAATGCTATAATAAAGAAAATTATGAAAGTAGATTGCTATTTTGTGCATTTTGCGCTAATATTTGAACAAAAAGTTTGATAATCCGTAATTCTGGGTTTCTGATCCATCTCACATGGAAATCCATATTTTATTTTATTATTGATTAACCTGCATATCCAATACGTTATACGAGCCGACTAATTCTAGGACGACCACCTGCTTTGCACGTAGCTCAGAGTCATCATATTTGAACCTTCGTGGCCACAAGAAGATTTTTGTTCCTCCTTCGATTTGAACTTGAGACCTCCTGACACTTTTAACATTTGAAGTTAAGCTCAAACCAATTAGACACCACTCTTATGGTTGGAAATCCAAATATTTTAGGAATGGCATATGAGGAGATATTTCGAAGCTAACTCAATGGTTGAAACTAGCGGAACCAAATCAAAAGGAAATAAGTAGTTGTAGGTTTGCATATAATAAAATTATGTTGTTTTGATTAAAGTTAAATATAAGAAATTATTATTTTATTTAGAAATGAAAGGTTTATTTATTTTATAGGGATTGACGGAGAATAAGTATTAAGTTGGTGCCACTGCCAACATTATATGACTTTTGGGTTTTTTCATTTAATTAATGTTTTTAGAATTATTAGATATTTAAAATAAAAATAAGATTTTTTGAGTTATGTGTTATGGCTAGTAATTTAATTATGGAAATAATTAAAGATGGGGAATTATAATTAAGTTGTGTTATTGTGCGAGGTGGTTATTGGATAAGACATCTATATCACCTTCTTCACCACGTGGTAGTTGGGGATGGGGAACCCAATATCTCCCCCCATCGCGTTAAAATAACGGTAGTTGTATATACATTCATTCATTCATTCTCTCTCTCTCTCTCTATATATATATATATAGGTTGGTTATTATACAACTCATGACATTTGTACAACCAATACAATTCAATCTCAACCGTCCATTTTATTTGAGTAATATGTGATTTCATAGAAATTTTGATTGTTTTCTAATATAAAGTATTGATCATAATTAATGAACCATATTCAGCTTCCATAAATATTCAAATCATAATAAATGAATTCTCATCATTTTCATAAATATCTTAATTTATTGGGTTACATTGGTTGGATAAATGCAACAGGTTGTATTTGAAATAAACTATATATATATATATATATATATATATATATATATACGAGAAATCTGTAATTTGTAATAATTATGAGATCCAATCTTAACCATAAATTAAATGTTAAATTAAGAAATTAATAATTATGATAATTTTAATTAAGGGCATTTTTGAAATTTTAAAAATCTTATCTTTCTTTTTCTGACAAATTTTATTTCGATGAACTTTATGTAAAAACAATATACACATTGTGATACCTAAAAGGATATCGTTAATATATATATATATATATATATATATATATACACAAACAATATTCACTATGATACCTATATATATAAATATAAGATGCAGATTGTGATAACTTTGTAAAGCAACTAAAATAACCAAAATACGCGTTGCGATACCCTTTATTAAATCATTATTGTTTTTTTTCTTAAAAACACATAAAATCGTATTATAACATTAACAGAGACAAAGAATAAAATAGAACATTAAAATTGATATGTATTTCGCTGCATTGCGCGAGTACCCTTCTACTATATATATAGAGGATTGATCAAATGAAAACCGCCCTCATTTGTGTAAACCGTGCAAACCACCTTCATCCATCGATTTCATTGTTTAATCTTATGAAAAAATTTCATTAAATTGTTTAATCATGTGAAATTGTTTCATATAATACTTTTTTTGATGAAGTTGTTTCATATATGGTTGTGAAATAGTTTCATATAATACTTAATGAAACTGTTTCATGTATTTCTCTAAAATTAATGAAACTGTTTCATGTATAAATCTAAAATTAAAATAATGAAGATGATAATATATATGATTAACATCATCCACAATAAAAATGATTAATCAACATCTCATAATTACAAAAAAATGAACAAAATGAAAAATTATGATTGGTTGAATGAGGTTTGTACAAATACAAATTGAGTGGTTTGCATTTGATCGCTCCCCTATATATATATATATATATATATATATATAGGCTGGTTCAAATGCTAACCAAGATTATTGTGTTAACTTTGTTAACCCTATTAATTTGAATAATAAACGGTTGTGATTTAATAATATTTAAAAATTAATTATTAAAATAATATTTTCAATTAACATATGTGAACAAAATATCAAATGGTATTTAGGTAAAAAGTAATTTATCTTTGATACACGAGTTGTCAGACATATGAACAACTTGTGTATATCCTCAAAACACATCAAACAAAAAAAATTAGACATATGAACAACATGTGAACCGTATGAACATCTTCTGTATATTCAGGAGCCAACTCTGTTGTATGTACATGAACACCTACGAAGCTTGTGTTCACATGAATCACAAATATTGTTCATACTCATATGATGTGATTGTGCATATGTATCGATATGAACATCTATTGCCTTTGATATGTGTTCATTTAAACGAATTCAAATGTCATACTAATCACTTACCAATATGAACACTTTGATCATTTTCTTCATTATCGGAATTCGAATTGTGAATGTAGTCGTAGACGATTTTGTCATTTCCATTTTTGTCAATCTGTTTTACAATAGGATTATCCATATTACTCGAATGATACAAAAATCTTTTACACTTACGAAAACAATATCATTATATGCAGAACGTCATTTGTAAACTATGATCATGAACACGCATGAAAATAAAATTTAATATTACATCATGATCAAATAGTGAGATCTTTAAGATTTGTAACTCCCAATTAATTATTAGGGAGTTACATAAATGTCAAATTACTTAATTACCCTTTATTTAATATATGAGTTACATTTGGACATAAATAAAAGATGGAATATGATTGGTTAAGCTTGGTTAGTATAGTTAACACAAATTTCTTGATTAGTATTTGAACCAAGCTACCAAAGGGCCTTTGGCCCAGTGGTACCTCCTCCCCGTTAAAGGCCATGGGGTCTGCAGTTTGGGGACTATTGGAAGATTGGTCCTGGGTTCGATTCCAACCGGCTGCAAGTTACCTGGACAGGGGATTGCCAGGGGCGCGCCCATGGACGTAGGGTGGCGTCGGTCCAATGTGACCCGGGGTCAGGGTGTCTCCGCCATAACACACCTTTTGGAAGTATTTGAACCAAACTCTCTTTATATATATATATATATATATATATATATGTAGGGTATATTTCAAATGCAACCATGTCCATTTGTACAATCAATACAACCCAATTAATTGAGATATTTATAGAAATGATGAAAGTTTATTTATTATGGTTTGAATATTTATGGAAGATGAATAAAGTTCATTAATTATGATCAATATTTTATATTAGGAAACAATCAAAACTTTTATGAAATCACATATTCATCAAATTAAATAAACGGTTGAGATTGAGTTGTATTGATTGTACAAATGTAAAGAGTTATATAATAACCAATCTTTATATATATATATATATATATATATATATATATATATATATATTATTTATAACCTTGCGTTGGTGTTGACGATGCTTAGAATTGACATTGTGGTGGGAAATTCCTAATCTTGGAACATACTATCATAGTGGCTTATCCTATGCTGCTTTTACTTTTGTAAAGCTTTCTTAATCACAACTCAAACATTTACCAAAAACCAACATTAAACAATTACCTAAATTTGTTGCTAACTTCGGTTTTGTAGAAAGTTATTCCATATAATTTCAACTTACTAATTATAATTGGAACAAATGGAATTAAAAACTCGACATCTAAATTGAATCAACCAATTCTTGATGGCAATCTAGAATAGAGATGCACAAAGCCTAGACTTTTTTGGAGCTAGGCATGGGCTTTCTAAGCCTCTTTTTAATGCGTAGGAGAAAAGCTCACGCTTAAAAAGCGTCTAGTTGGCCTTTTCTAGCCCGAGTTTTTCAGTTCTAATCGAGTTTTTTCAGTTTTTCTGAAACAAACCTGCAATTTTGGCTGAGGATTTGGGCTCACTAGGCCTAGGCTTTTCGAGTAGGGTTCAGGCTTGGGCTTTTTTGGATTGGATCAAGAAACATAATCCAAACATCTCATAGATACTCGGATTGGAAGACAAAATCCAACATCCAATGGATCATTATCGGATCCAACTGAATCATTTGATTGGAACCAAAACACCCCTTATCTTTAAGCCTGGGCAACAAAATTATAGGAGAAGATTGTTAAGAGTATGTGAATAGATATTTTTGTTAAGAATAAACACGCGACCAAAAAGGTCGTGAAGCACGCTTTATTAATTCAACGCAACGTTTGTCCAAGGACAGCTTACATACATACAAACTAGACCTCTAGCAGCTGGCTGGCTAGCTCTTCTTCCAATTCATCGCATAACAACAACACGAGTCTTGGTTTCCTACCACCAAAAAACTACAAAATCTAGGCTGCATTATGCGACAACATTACCTGCCCGACCCCTTTTCAACTCATCGTTCTCCCTGCTCAACTCACCAATTTTGGCCTGAAGAATGTTGATCATCGCCTGTGCACGCATCACTTCAATCTTCAAAGTCTCTCTTTCCATTGAAACATTGAGAATCTCGTTCTCTAGATTATGTATAAACTTCAAATACCCGGGGGGAACCGATTTCTCAAGCGTAGAAGAGTCAAATGATGGTTGGCTACCTGATGGGTAGCTTTCTTTTGCTTCAAGAGACTGCAGCAGAGGGAACTCCATGAGTGCAGATGATACTTTTGTGGTCCTTGGATCCTGGCTTGTGGTCGAGTCTTCTGAACCATTTCCATTGCTGCCATTGGCATTAAGAGCACTTTGCTTTGGCCTTTTGTTGTGGAACAGAGAAAAGGTCTGTAGCTCAGCAGGTCCACGGTTTAAAACACAACCTTCGGCCCTTTCCCTTTTGCACACAAACGGGATGGTTTCAGGATGATCCATCAGAGATCCCTCACTTCGATAAGGCACGTTGATGTCAGCAACTTCCTGTGAAAATGAACTTGGTTTCATCAATTGAAAACACAACGGATCCATTTGTATCATGAAAAGAAAATTTTCTCACAAAAAACATTTATAAAGTAGTGTTCAGAAGACGAGCATAATGGTGAGATCATATGGTCAAAACTATCGAGTAAAATAATTTGTTGTGTTGCCTTGTCTTCTATCTCAGTCAAGATTGTGAGTTGTAGTTTACATTTTTAGCCTTGGTTTCCAAGTTTATAACTAGGGAAGCAACTCCCCAATTTTCAAGAAAGACCAAAATGCCCCTCCCATACCCACAATTGGGTATCCTCACGGAAATGGGTAATTTCATGCGTCTACTTGGGTAGGAATTATATGGCATACTAAAAAAGCATGATTTACTGAGCTCATAGTCAATTAGAGTTACGGAATTACCCCTCATCAATGGAAGATCTGTGATATGTTACAAAGGGTCTGAAGGAAACTTATCGATACTTGACGCAGTAAATAGACGAATATAATTCTGAAGCATCTTTCATAATTCTCAACATACAAACTCCAAATTTATGTTTTACAATTCCCCAGCATAAACCCTACACTTTTGCATTATCATTCCAATGTTCCTAGAATCATCATCATCTTCCGTGAAGTTTCAACGTTGCAAACCCTAACTTATCCAAGTGATTCCAGATGATCAAATTTGATTCAAGGAGTGAAAAGATCAAAAAGGAAACAAATTTATAACCTTCAAACGTATTCCTGAATCCTAATTTGATAAATTTTATGGATTTGATTCCATTGTAGGAAAGTGAATAACTTTCTAGTTTTTGGTGAGAGTGCAAAAAGGTAGACAGAACAACAATCTACGTATTGAAAATCCTATGCCCCCCATGCCCCTTGGTATCTTCTCCCCAGGTATCGTGAATATGTAAAGATGAAATATCAAGAATGCTTACGAGCACAAGTTGTTCTTACAATCTACAAATAAAGATGGCGATATGGTGTTGAAACACTTTTCCTATATGTCCGTATGAAAAAGTGAGGGAAGCGAGAACCATGCAGATACATATATCTATATACAAAACCACAATTATTGACAACATGCAAGTACAACATACCATTTACTTGAAATTACAACATAATAATTCTAGTAATAGGCGCTATAGATCTATAATTGATAATTAAGAACACGAAAACAATAAACAATTTAATATTCAAACAAATTATGTATTGTACATTTAACTGGAACACTATATAATAAGACAGTCAGAATAACGAATCTCGTGTTACTTGTATTCTAAAGCAGGCTAAGGTCCTAATTGCTTTACAGTTTACCATTTTTTTATTTTTTTTTGAGTCCTTTTGTACAATGTGAAAAGTAATGATGCAACTTTGGGTCTCGTTTACTTGATGAGAAAAAATAAAAACGAAGAACAGAGAAAGAGGTACAAATAAAATGGAGCATAAACATTTTAAAAATAACAGTTCAAAATACATGTAATTGAGATGAGCAGAGTCCATGCACACTGAGTTTCTTTTTCTGTACCCCTTATTTATTGTAATTTCCCTTGGGAGATTTGTAAAACGCTATCATCAAAATCGTACATGTAAAACAAAATCCTGCCCGCCGCATATCCAAGTTATGATCAACAAGGATCCGGCAATGAAAACCCAAGAAAAAGTAATCAATTTTTCAAGAAAATATGAAAATCTTTCTTCCTATTAATTGGGATTTCCCTTGATTGTATGCATAGATCGGATGCATCATCATCAACTCTAAAAGATCTTATGAAGGTTTCAGCCCATGACCATGCTTGTAAGATGTGATTAACAAATCAAGAAGAAACCAAAAGTCAAGTGTGAATGGTGTCACCTTTTTGAGTTTTTTCTACATAGTTTTTTAGATAAGCTTATGTAGAAAGGTCATGACTAATATAGGCAAGCGTAAAGACACATGTGTGCATAGATATATATATATATACACACACACACATATGTATAGCTACATATACGGAGATAAGAGGCAAGCAAGTATGATACCTGCACAAAGTCATTTCCTTGAGCCTGAGCCTCATCGCCAGTGGTCATATCATCCTCAGTCTCTCCACCAGGAACCATGAGGGTTGCATCATCATCCCATTCTTCCTCAATAAAGGGTGCATAACGGTCCCCATTGGGAGGTCCTAAACCACTTTTCTGGAAAATTCTGCATAGCACAAATGCATCCTTTTCGCCACCCACAAAACAAAAACAAGTTCAAGTTTCCAAGTATGCATTACGACATATGTATCTAACTACACGATTCAATAATCATGGTGATTCAAAGTTCAAACCTGCACTACTCCAGCTCTCTCCAACTCTTGATCCAGAAGTCTATATTCATGCATTACCCAATTAGTGCGCTGGCCATCTGGGGCCCGACCGCTATGGAAGACCAGCGTTTTCTTCATCCCTATCATCTCAGACTTATGGCGTACAGGACGGTCCTTCCCAGTTGCCTTCCAATACCCTCTCCCAGTAGCACGATTCAAACGAGAACCATTGCCATACTTCCTATCTACAGGACTGAAGAAGTACCATTCAAGATCTCTCGTCTTCAGCGAAGAATAATCTAACAATCCATAAATCACAAAATGTCATAATCTGACAATCCATAAATCAGAAAAATGTCATAATCTAACAATCCTTAAATCACAAAATATCAGAATCTAACAATCCATAAATCAGAAAATGCCATAATCTAACAATCCATAAATCAAAAAATGTTAGAATATAAAGAATCCATAAATCACAAAATCTTACCCTAGATATAGAATTCACATGGTAGGAGGCTTGAGTTTTATGACACCGACCCAAAAAACACCAATTAAATATAATAAATTAAATAAATCCCAACACACCCACGAAAGACCTAGAAGATAATTACATGGATGCCCAATTGAAATTTTGTCTTCAATGCAGATGTTCTTAGGTTTCACTCAATTTCCATTTCCTCACACATTTACCGCCCAAATTAGCAACTTGGAATTGGGAAAATTTTATGATACAAGTGAATTTCAAGTGAAAATGTTGAAGAACACGCATAACATTTAACAATCTGAAATGACAGCACCATAGAAAGCAAAAAAAAATGATTGATCAAACTACCAGCAAGTTCCCAGGGTTCGGATTTGTAGACATCGATTTCGGATACAGCTTCGAATCGAAACGGCTTCCCACAAGCCTTACGCCTTAAATAATACCTCACAAGTTCCTCATCGGTTGGGTGAAACCGGAATCCAGGTGCAAGAGATGTCGGCGGTGGCGATGATGGCGCTGCCGCTGGTAAAGTTGGCGGAGCCGCCGGCTGTGCCACACACATCAATTCCTGACTCATTTCTCTCCTTTTTCGCTCTGGAACAAAAATTGAACTTGTAGGTATCACTCTTTTCTGATTAAAAAATAGAAAGATTGATTTAAAGGGGTTAAGAAGAGCACATTAGAATTAGGATTGTGGATGAAGCATCAGAACCAGAGTCACCGTACACATGATGAGAGAGAAAACAAAGAGATGTGTATTTCCCGTGGGTTAAGAAACCCCCATTGATGAGAATGGATGCTTGCTTCACACGGAAATCGAAACCCACAAAAGCAACCCTCACCCTTTTATACAGCAAATTTATGCATATGTAATCAATCTGTTCCTTTTAGGGGTTTTGATGGATAAATTTCCTTGTGACAGAGCTAGAATTCTTGAATATCAGCTCATTATTGCCTTTGAAAATTGTACAATCTTCAATAAAACATGTAAGATGATCTGCATTTCGTAATTTTAGCTTTGGAAGGATAAGTTAAGGATTTCGTTAATTTAATAAATATTATATTGGGTTAATTTAATAACAACAATTCAATATGAACATATACAAATATTAAAATATATTATATTATCTTAGTTTTGACAATTATTTATAATTTATAATTCTTTTATGTTCTTTTGCAAAAATGGTTGTTGGTTAAAAGATATCTTTTACCAACATATTCATTTAATTTTGAAAAAAATTTAAAAATCTTAATGAATTTTAATGTTTTGAATGATTAAGTTATTGGACACTTTTTTGAAACAAATAAGTTTTTAAATATTCCAAAACCTGCTAAATAACTCCTGATTAATGTGGTAAAATAATGAAAAAAATATTTACATATATAAAATGAAATAAATATATAAAAAAGTACTTACATTTACAAAAGTACTTACATAAAAAATATTATTCATGCGAATTATTTTAAATAAAAAAATATGTCTAGTCAATGATTTTTTAAAATAAAATAGATTATTGATTACATTTATTTTAATTAAAAACAAAATATATTTCGTATATGATTTCTTAAATTAAAAAAATTTAAAAATAATTACTAATGAAATTTATTTTAATTGGAAATAAAATATATTTTTGTTGGTGATTTTTCAAAATATAAAAATATAAAATAATTTGATTAAATTACTGACGAATTAACGATAAAATTTAACTAAATACATAACTAATTAAAATTCGTCATTATTGTTCATTGGTATATATACATGAATTACTTATATCTAATTGATGGCTAATTTGAGTACCGTCAGACGCTCTAACACAGTAACATGTTAATAAATGTGATTTTTATAAATACATATTATTATAAAATCACATATAATATAATCTGTGAAATAACATATAATATTGATATAAGTATATATCGTGCATTTATAAACTAAAAAATAATTGTAATGTATATTATAATTTATAAAGTAGTAAGTGAATGTTACTGTATGAACCACTTTCAAAAGTGTAGGTGAATTACAGGTGTATAGATGATAATTGCAAAAACTGATGTAATACGGTTGAAAAGATATAAATGAATTGCAGTTATATGGATGATCTCATACAACCATCTTCTTTATATATATACTAGAAGGGTACTCACGCAATGCAGCGGAATACATCTCGATTTTAATGTTTTGTTTTATTTTTTGTCTCTGTCGATGTTATAATACGATTTTATGTGTTTTTAAGAAAACAATAATGATTTTATTTTTGAATAAAATATAAATTTGAATATATCATAAAAACTTGGAAAAAAAATATCAATGTTAATATCAAATCAACTATTTAAAAGTTCTAATTTTTTATCTAATTT